TTCTCGCCTTATTTATTCTTCCTTAGTCTGTACTTGTATTTCACAATAACCAAATTTTTTTTTCCCCACAGATTTGTGGTTTACAAACATTTTGGAAACTTTTAGGAAGTTCTGTCAGCTCATGTGATAGTTGAACCTTTTTTTTTTTTCTTATCATTTAAAAGTTTGACATAGTAAACGAAATGATGTGCATTGTTAACCCTTCCACAAGCAGCATTATCAGTTGCTGTGTGTAACGCTTGCATGATGTATGTGGCTGTGTGATGTGTGTGAGTGTGTGAGTGGATGTGTGTAATGTGTGTAAGTAGCGGTAAGTGATCTGTGGGTAGTTGTGTATGAAGTGTTTGGCTGCAGTAGCTATCATGTGTGTGGTTGTGTGATGTCAGTGGGTGTCTGTGAGTGATGTGTGAGGATGAGTGATGTGTGGGTAGTGATGGCAGTAGTTATGTGTGGGTAGCTGTTTGTCAGGTGGCTGAGAGTGTCGTGTTTAGGCAGCTGTGAGTAATATGCGTGAGGAGTCTGTTTTTGTTCTTTGCAGCCTTCCCTCACATAGAAAGATATGTTTTAAAAAAAAAAAAAAAAGATTTATATCTCCCTCTTATCTGTAGGCCGCGAGGTGATGCATGTCCCTCTCCCTGGTGGTCCTATGGGGTCTGTGTCCTGCTCCTACTAGTCATGGATTCCTGCTGGAGGTTCGGTGGGGTTTGAGATAAGCTCTTTACATTTACTTTGGATTACTGACGATTCGTACTTTAGGGAATACCCCTTCAGAGTTCTGTAATTAGTAACTTTAACACCAGATAAATTTTTTTTTAACTATTTTATTAACAAAACTCTACACTAACAGAGTTATTCGCATAAATCAAAAAATGCATTTTAATCCAAGTGTTAAACTTAAGACTAAAATATCAAAAGTTTAGCTGTAGCCCAATTGATCAGCTATTTTAACCAATATGTTTAAAGTGGCAATTTCACCGTCTGGTGACATCGTTGCTGGAGGTCCGGTGGCCTGGTGGGGCAGTAAAAAGTGAGCTTAACTCATCTGAACCTGTCCCTCGTAGGCACTGCCATCTTCTTCCGTCTGGTCCTCCTCCATTACCAACATCACTGCTATATTCTCTCGTATGCAGGAAAGTACAGCATTGAGGTCTATGGAGTATCTGGCGAGATCATCCACAGACAGAGCCTATTCCCTGCCGCCGTCACTTCGAGATGGTTGTAGCTCCGCCCAATGTCTATAAGTATCAGGCATATGTCTCTGTATATCTTTTGCCTTGGTTGGATTGTATCTTTATGAAATGCTCATTTTGCAAGGAAGGGCGGGTGCCAGTGCCGCTTTGAATTCAAGTTTTAATTCACTACAGTTAGGAGCTTGGTAAAAAACCCTATAAGTTTAAAGACAGACATATTTTAGGTTAACTTCATGTTCAACATGTCATACTTCAGTTTTTACACATTGTATGGTGTATATATGTGAGGTATGTTTAAATCTATGTATATTTCATAATGCTGAATGAAAGAACTAAACGACACAAGGGTTCTTCCTTGCCATTCACGTGTTGCATATTTTCAGCATAGAGGCAGTATATCTCTCAACGGAGTGTTTGGTGGGCTGTCCAAGACGGTTAACATGAAGACAGCAGTTGTCAAGGTGACCTGTTACAGGTGCATTTTATTATAACTACACAAAGAACACGCTTCCTGAAATTCCTGTTCTTCTGGCTTCACAGGTATAAAAAAATCTTACCAGAAAAGGTAAGTCTTAAGTACACGTTCAGCTCCATAAAGGAATTAACAAAAGCAAAGAAAAGAAAAATGTTTCCTTTGAAACTTTGATCAAAGGCAGCCAGGTAGACTGGCATGTGGCTTATGGTATTAGGGACGGTTGACTGTTTGATAATTCACGGACAGATTGGTATCCTGTATGGTAAAATCTGATAATACGAATGTTTGTTGTAACTGTCCTTGGAGCACATCATCCCCACCTTTTAAATGTTAAAGGAACACTATAGTGTTAGGAATATAAACTTATATTCCTGACACTACAGTGCTAGAATGCAGCATCCGGTCACTGGCCCTCCTCTCTCCAGAGATTTAGGGCTGTTTTACTCACCTTTACTCCCACACCGCCCCGTCTCCCTGTGGCTGGCTGGTCCCACCTGGCTTCACCTCTGTGGCTGAGTTGATCAATTTTGATTAACTCAGCCAAATTCAATGTTTTGCACTGAGAGTCTATTGTGCATGCGCAGCAAAATACCGCCCTGCTCCAATCAACATCTCCTCATATAGATGCATTGAATCAATGCATATATATGGCAAACATTCATGAACGCCAGTGCTACACACTGTGCAGCACTGAGATAGGAAGCACTTATAGTAGCTGTCTGAGTGACTGCCACTAGAGGTGTAACTAATCAGCAATGTAAACACTGCCTTTTCTCTTAAAAGGCAATGTTTACAGTGCTAAGGCTGATGGGACATGCTATAGACACCAGAACCACTACATGAACTGTACTGGTTCTGGTGACTATAGTGTCCCTTTAATATCTTGTTTTTTCATACTAAATAAAAGGGATGAGCTAAGAATCAGTGACATCCGAGTGCTGGATATTTGTTAGTGTCTCGTGTTCGTATGGTTAATTAACCCCTACCCTGACGACACCCCCTATTTGTCTGCGTGTAAGTGAGCGTGTATGTAACGGTGGGTGGGTGGATGTAGCTACTTACTTTCACATATATGCACACATACACTCACACACACATACACACACTGACCCAAATCCATACACTCACCAATACACACACACACAATGACACATACACCTACACTAACTTTATGATATAAATTACAGTTGCTCACCATTACCGATTGCTTTCATTTTTATTCCACTGCTTTAAATGTAATAAGCAAATCCCACTACTTTTCTACACAGACTCAAACTTTTCTAACTTGTTCATGTGAGCATCTAAACAATTTAAATGCCAGACAAGCCAATAATGTTTGTATTGCTTAAAAGATTAGTGCTGATTCACAATTTTCGACTGATATAATGATTTTGGTGAATAACAATGCCAGTGTCTGACTCACACTAATCGAAGTTAGCTACTCCAAATAATCTCTTCAATAAATATTGTACCTAGGGACATTTTTCATGTTTGGCAACTGCATTTCTTTGAAATTATCATGAAAGTGGAGTTTGGCAGGCTGCAGGCAGCAGCAGGGGGGTGCTACGTGTTGGATAAAGGTGATGTATCAGCTTTGAAACTTACAGAGTTTTTCACTAGAGTGAGAATTCAAAGTGATTTCAAAGAGACTTTCTAATTTCAGTTCAAAGTAGATGAACTAGAAGCATGGCAGGATAGAGAAAATTTTCAAGAAGCTATTTACCTTAAAGGACCACAATAGGCACCCAGACCACTTCAGTTCAATGAAGTGGTGTGGGTCCCAAGTCCCCCTAGTTTTAACCCAGTCGCTGAAAACATAACAGTTTCAGAACCACAGCAGTTAGATCTGTTAGCTGAGTCTTTTGGCAGTCCTCCGCTATACCCATCCCATGCAGCTCACGGTCTGTAGCTGGAAGCGATTGACAGGCTCTCACTTCCTTCCAGCGCTGCCAAAATGAAAGGTGCCGTTAAGGGGCCGCAGCGCACGATCGGGCCCCTGCTGACACATTCCCATCAGGTGTTCGTAAGTTCACAGGCACCCTCAGTGTGCAGGCATCAGTGCAGCTGGTGCAGTAGTTTCACCACTGATATTACTGCCAAGATGGGAAAATACACTCCTGACAAGCCAAAACTAGATCCTACAGTCAGTCCAACAGAAAAGTCTGTAGGGGAGACATATCAAGACGAGCATAGGTTTATTGTGGAGCAAAGTGGTAAATAAGGAGCAGTCACTATGGAAACGTCAACAGTCAGCAGAATAGTACTTGTTTTTCTTTGATAAATCACCACCATTAGGAGCTCGTGGCTGCTTTCTCAGCTGATGTCGGGTCAGGCTAGCGGGAGCTCTGTGTTGAAGCTGCCATCTTGCAAGTGAGCCAGGCCACGTCCCGGATTATTATATTCTTATCACTTGTCAGAGTGTTTCATATTCCTGTTTCTTTTTTTTAGTTTTAGTTTTAACTGATTTCTACTTTCTTCATTTTTAAAAAAAAACAAAACCCACTATATAGAAGTATCTAAACTATTACAATATATCGATAATTTATTCATTTTATTTATATATAGCGTCTATTTGTATGCCTGTCAAAACTATGTCCTCTCATTACCTTACAAAAAGTGTTCATTTTATACGATAACGTTCTAAGATGCTGATGCAGAAAGCAGCCTGTTTTGTGTGAAATAATGATATACTAGAAAAGCAGTTTGATATTGTGAGTTATACGGACTAAAAAAAAAAATAAACTGTGATAAGTACGGACAAAATGTCTGAATTTTCACAGCAAGTGAACATCACAACATGCGAGTTGTGGCTTCATTATATGCAAATCTACTGTACTTTAGACTACAATGAACCCCATGCAGTAGTCACTTTTCATTTTCAGTAACAATCCATGTGCACGTGCATTTTTCATAAAAATACACCAGATGGCGCTTTTGTCCTTTTTAAAAGAATTGGAGTTAAAGCTTTGTTTTCCTCTTCATTTCTTAAATTTCCCTAAAAAAAAATAAATATATATATATATATATATATAAAATGGGATTGTGTATGAAGCTGCAAGGAATTTCAAGCGGCACATAGCAATTGTTAAAACTAAACTGCCCGAGCATTTTAATGCATCAGCACAATGGAAAAATGAAGCATATATTTGAAACATATTATATTCTTGATAGCATTATGGTTGATGTTTTTATAGCCCTGCAGAATTAAATGCAACAAATTGTACGATGATCAAAGAAATTATTGGAGCTATGAATACATCTATAAATAAGATCAAAGCTTTAAAGAAATAGACTACATTATTTCTTTAATAAAAAAAATGACCGCTTGCATTTTTCTTTAATTTTCCATAATTTTAATATTGATAAAACTTTTTTATTCAAAAAGGTTCAAACAATGGGGTAATAGCTTCTTAAACCAAGAGATATCTGACTGCCATTCTGGGGTCAAGGAGGAATTCTTTTCCTAGTTTGTTGCAAATCTGGAAGCACTTCAAACTGGGTTTTTTGCCTTCTTTTGGATCAACAGCAAAAACATATGTGAGAAGGCTGATTTTGATGGCCGCAAGTCTCTTTTCTGCTTATGTAACTATGAAAAAAGTCCTACTGGTGAAGAGCTGGGAAGCAGAAAAAATGGATCCTTTACAGTTTCATTCAATGTAATGTTTTTCATTGCTGGGACGTTTTCTTTGGGTGGTATGATTTTGGTACACCACAAACTATCAGACACAAAAAAGGATGGCCCAATTCATTCATTAACATAAAGTGCATAAGTTAGTGCAAATAACGCTCTTATTCACATATACATCATATGTGTGGCAACTTACAACTAGCAGCAGATTTTCAAATAAATTTCATCAGATGTAGGAACATAAAAGGAATAAAATATATATAGTGTGATATTGTAAATATAATAGCACAAAATTCAAGGTGAGATAGGAAATGAACTCACAAACATAGAGCAGATGAGCCTACTCTACCTTGAATAGCCCAAAAGGAAAGACTTCCACTGTAGCTGGTATGGTAAAGTGAAAAGCCTTTATTGAAGATAGGTTAAAATAACATGAAATTCACCCAGGTCCCTCTGGCAGAACGTTCCTCTTGCGGACATGTGCAGATGCCGGCCCGCACAAATCCTCTTGCACTCTCCTATTGGGTTAGTTTTCGCTGTCGGGAGACTTCCGGCAGGCGGAGCTTCACGTGATGATGTTAGGTCAGATAACGCGTTTCGCCGAATCAAACAGCTTCCTCAGATCTGACCTTCTTACTCCCCAACAGTCTTTATACATCGGCCCCAGGGGGCGTTGCTTGCATAATAATGTTCTCAATTAGCTAGCATGAAGAGCTATTAAGCATACGAAAAAAAATGGGGAAGGGGGGGCAGGGGGTTAGAGGAAAAATGAAAAAAGTCCCAAACACAATGTAATGTCCTACATATGTTATAATTGTCCACATTGCACATTGTGCCTAATTGACAGTATTGTTAAGCAAAAAAACAGATACATTCTTTATGTATGATAATTAAAATCAAACGTGTTTTCTTTACAAAAGAGAGAGTTTCATAAATGCAGCGAGCATCTTTACAATTAAAGGAACAGTCTCAAATACAACACCCATTACAAATGGTGATGGAAAATATGTTGTTTAAAAAATAAAAATAAAAAAAAAGTCATAACCTTCTCCATTGAATAAGGTTTCAACTTAGGCAAAAATCTTCACTACAATTATAGAGATAGTTTTAATTAAACCACCCATTCTAAATAATGATTAAAAATACATACTAGATATTAGTCATCACATTCTACATTGTATCAGGACATCTTAATGAAAACCACAACTAATTTTATTGACAGAAAACAACCAAAAATTTAAAATTCAACCTGCTCAGGGAGAAAAATGAAGGGGAAGGAGAAGAGAATTAGAAAGTAAGTGATCCTAAAAATAAAAATAAATGCTATGAATAAATAAAAATATTAAAAATAGATAATTACAAAAAATTAAAAAGATTGAATTCTATATTAAAAACCTTTAGGCTCTAATGTGTCTAATTTATACACCCATCTCATTTCTTCCTTTCCTATAGCGTTTAAAGGATTTCCACCTCGCCAGGTTTTTTTTACTATTTTAATCCCTAAAAACATTAAACCTTTTTGGTCCTGGTTATGGTGTTTCTTAAAATGGGCTGAGACACTGTGATTTTCATAACCTTTGCGGATATTGTTTAAATGTTCGTAAATTCTCTTGTGCAGTGGGCGGATGATACGACCAACATATTGTAACCCACATGGGAAAATTAAAAGATAAATTACATTTTTACTAAAATAAGTAATAAAATTGTGACAAGAGCAATCTCGCCACATTGCATTGGAGAAGCCTGGTTGCTCGCCTGCTGCCTTTGGGCTATGGCCCCATGTTAAAAGACATATTTTTTCCCATCAGAAAAGACTTATTCGTGCTTTTCTGCCGGGTGTTCGGTAGATTCAATCTACCAAACAACCGCACGAATGAATAGACCACCTGGGAGCTGGAGTGTGCCGGCAATTAACCTCCCTGAAGCTGCGGTTAACCGCAGCTTAATTGACAAATGCTGGGTGGCCGCCATTCGTATCACGAACACAAGGTCACGGCCATTTTAAACATGCGAACGCATAGCGGTGTTCGACGCTAAATTCATGGAACTAAAATCGGACACAGTTTTGCGCGAACACCGCTGAAGCCGCCGACCTCCCTTCTTGTTCGGTGGAAGTGCACGACGGCCTGGTGTTTGGTAGTTTTGTTTGAATGTATTATACCCCAGATAGGAATCCCATGGAGCCCATTCGCATGAAACTGTGTAAAGACTTTGGCTCCATGGCGATTAAACTGTATTCGTGTGGTCTGAGCGCCATTCGCTTAATAATGTGCGATCAGACCTGAGCTATCTGGGGATATGTTAAATGTATGCTTTTAACGTTATGTGTCTCACATAGTGTATTTTAATAGTAATTCGTGTGTTAGTATCCCCACGTGCATAATGGAGATTTGCCTTTGTCTTGGGAGATAATTGAATTACTTCTCAATTATCTCCAAGGCAGAGGGGAGGAAGCCAGGATGCATTGTGGGAATACAATGTGACTGTGTGTCCTATTTGTCAACTTGTCTGTCCCTTGTCACAGTCTCCCATTTGGTCCCCTAGGGGAGTGTCCACCAAGTGTGAGACCTGCATAAATACTGGGCAGGTAGCCCTCATTAAACAGACCACTGCTTGACCCTCAACATGGAGCCTTGTCTCGTCTTTGGGGGGATTTACTGAACGCTGATAGAGACTGATTGCTAGGAGTGTAAGCCGCTTGGATGCTTTTCCTATTTGTCTGCTAGCAGCGATTCGTATGGTTCCAGTTCGTGTGTTTGGAGTGCTATATTGGATGCCGTTCGGGAGTTTGGAGCATTCCCTTATTGGCAGTTCGTGAGTTTGGTGTTTTACAATAGCTGTGCCTGCATCTCTGGAAAAGGGGACGATCGCCTAAACGGTTTTTACCCCTTGTGTGCAAAACGGTCCATTACAAAAATCTTCTATATAAAATTCCTCGTCTTTATATTTTGTCCGGAACTTATTGATGCCTTTTAAACTTCTATTTTTGCTGCATTTACAACCTGCACATAATCCGCATGAATAAAAACCTTTTTTTGTCATTTAAAAAAGTTTTATTTGATTCTTCTTTAGGGTGGTTAAAACTTAAAATCTGTTTAAAACTAAGTGCCCCTCTGAAGTTGATAAGAGGTTTACTGGGAAGAATTTTGCATAACTCATTATCTTTTTTTTAAATATGCCAATGTTTTCTTATAACAGATTTAATCCTTCTACAATCCTTATTATAGTCAAATATCATAGGAGCCATATTTTCCGTATACTTGAGATCTGTATTTGTCTTCTTATTTAAAATCAGATTGTCTTGATTTAATTTAAGAGATTCTTCATATGCATCCTCTACATGTTGAATGGGGTAATGCTTCTTTTAAAATGTTTCTTTTAGTATAGTGGCTTGGTCTTTAAAAATATCCACCTCTGTACAATTTCTACAAATTCTTCTGAATTGTCCTTTTGGGATGTTATCTAGCCAGGCTGAATAGTGGCCACTGTTGTACAGAACATAACTGTTGGCGTCTACTTTTAAAAAAAAAATGTTTCGTTTTTAAAATACCATTATCAACATAAATATTTAGATCTAAAAAGTTAATATTTAAAGTACTAAAATCACTAGTTAACCTTATCCCCCATTGTTAATATTTAGTTGAATTAAAAACTCCTCTAGGTCTTCTTCGGAGCCATTCCATAAAGAAAATAAATCATCACTGTACCTACAGTAGGAGACCAGATTTGTCCCCCAGAACTGGCTACCGTATATAAAATTATCTTCCCATCCTGACATGTATAAGTTCGCATAGCTGGGGGCAAACCTGGCCCCATAGCTGTACCCTGGCGTTGTAAGTAAAATTTAGAACTAAAAGAGAAATAATTATTATTTAAAATCCACATAATACTGTCAATTTTTTTTAGATTAAATTAAAATATTACTTCACATCCATTAGAGTGATGGATGGATGTATAGAGGGAGAAAACATCGCTGGTTACTAAAATGCATGTATCATCCCATTTAATATTCTTCACTAACTTCATCTGCTCTGTGTTTGTGAGTTCATTTCCTAGCTCACCTTGAATTTTGTGCTATTATATCAATATCACACTACAATATCACACTATATATATTTTTATGTTCCTACATCTCATGATGAAATTTATTTGAAAATCGGCTGCTAGTTTTAAGTTGCCATTTTCTGTCCACTATATCACTTTAAGTGTTTTTTTGGAAGTTTGCACATTTCTGCACTTAAAGTGGTTTTACCACACATATGATGCATATGTGAATAAGAGTGTTATTTGCACTTATGTACGCACTTTATGTTATTGCACTGTATATTTGCACTGTAGGCTGCTTTTTATACTGCTTGCACTTTAAACTTTAAACGCACCTAATTTTCTCTGTTTCTGTAACCATTGGAGTGTTTTTGGGCTATAACACTGTTTAGGTGCTACTCCAATTTTAGATTTTATCTTTTTTCAATCTATATTATTGCCAGCACCTTTTTTTTCACTTGTTTGATTGTTTTTCAATTCATTCAATAACTATTACCACAGATTAACTTTATATTATTTGAGAAATGAGTGCAAAGCAATCACAATAATATAAGGCAAAATAGAAATTGTATGAACTTTTAGGTAAAATAGAAGTTTGAAGGCACTCACTGTTTCCAGTTCTGAGAACCACTAATGACATTATATAATACAGCCTCGGTGCTGTATCATACATTCTTCAAATATTGGAACGGAGTAGGCACTCACAGGACTTGGTTATGAAAATGTAAAAACTTTTTAATTGTGCAGCGGCAACGTTTCGGACCCACTCGTGGTCCTTGCTCAAGAAAGGACCATGAGTGGGTCCGAAATGTTGACACTGCACAATTAAAAACTTTTTTACTTTTTCATAACAAAGTCCTGCGAGTGCCTACTCCTTTCCAATATTTGAAGAATTGTATGAACATATACGTGGGTGCAGAAGAGCTCAAATGATGCATTGCGTTGAAATGGCCCAATTAACTGGGTATAGTTTTTGTAAAGGAATTTTCTCCAAATATACCACCAGTATTAATCATGGGGGCATACTTTTTGTGCGGTTTTCTGACTGCTATTGCAGCCGACATAAAAGCCCTGTAGTATACTAAGGACTGTCTCCATACTAACCCTTCCAAGTTAGTTTATTTTTATTTTTATTATTTTTATTGAACATGTTTAAAGACATAGTAACAATATAAAACATAAATCTAAACAAGTCAATTATGAATAAACACAAAAAACGGGGAAAAGAGAGAGAGAGAAAAAAAATAAAAGAAATAAAGAGGGAAGGGGATTTCCATCCATAATTACATAATATATTTTCATCAAAGTTGTACAGAGTAATTTATATCACAGAGTGTTTGATAAAACACAGCCAAGGTACTTTGAAGCATAGTTGAGTCCGTATGGCAATAATGGAGTGAGAGTAGCATTTACAGTCTATCCATATAGAAATGTGTTTCTCTGCCATGGGAAGACCAGCACTAAAGGAAGAAGAAGAAGAATGTAGGTGGGACTTTTCTGGCTTAAAGGGGCACTATAGGCCACCCAGACTACTTCAGTTCATTGAAGTGGTCTGGGTGCACTGTTCTTGTCAGTTAAAAGCTGCATTGGTAATTATTGCAGTTATTCAGAAACTGCAATAATTATACGGTAGGGTAAAAGGAGCACTCCACTGCCCACAACAACAAAAATAAATAAATAAATCACTGTTTAGTAGATATACCCACAATGATTCATGCATTAAAGGGACACTATAGTACCCTAAGGGTGCCCCCACCCTCAGGGTCCTCCTCCCGCGGCTACTCACCCTTTCCCCCCGTCGGGCTCCCTTACCTCTCCTCCCCCGCTGACGTCAGAATCCTTGTCTGACATCACCGGCGCCGAATGCGCATGCGTGCATTCAAAGTGTCTGTAGGAAAGCATTTTTCAATGCTTTCCATAATATGCCTCAATCATTGCCGATGCGCCTCTAGTGGCTGTCTGGAAGACAGCCACTAGAGGGTGGCTTAACCCCAGTTGTAAACATAGCAGTTTCTCAGAAACTGCAAAGTTTACATCAGGCAGGGTTAACCCTAGAGGGACCTGACACCCAGACCACTTCATTGAGCTGAAGTGGTCTGGGTGACTATAGTGTCCCTTTAATTTTCATGCATGTATTCATTGGGGGTTTATCGTAAAAGAGCTTGCAAAGGCTGCAGATCTTATGATCTGCAGCCTGTGCGAGCCCTCCCCCCCCACCCCACAAGTAAATAACCAATCAGAGGGAACTCATTGAGAAGACTCTGAATTGGCACATAAAAGCATGAGCTCACACTGGCTTGTGTGCACAAGCCATTGTGAGCACATGCTTTTATGTGCCAATTCAGAGGGTTCTCAATGTTTGATTGGCAGCCGGGGGAAGTTCCCTAGCAAATTTATTATAGTGCAGATTTCTCATAGAAATCAGCATTTTTATAAACTGGGGTTAAACCTGGCTACGCCTCATCCATAAAGCATTTCAGCAAGCTGAAGTGCTTTTGGGGTGTGGAGTGGTCCTTTAACTCCTCCAGAGGTGCTTCCTGGTCTTTAGGTGACTTTTGGTCACTGCATGAGGACATTAAGCATTAGCCAAAACCCCATAGGAAAGCATTAATTCAATGTTTTCCTATGGGGTTATCCTAATGCTATTGCAAGGCTCGTTGTGCATGCTCATTAGTTCCACAACGGGGGTGGAGGATCTGAAGCCAGTACCTGATCCAGTGCCGATGGACATTGGTACTGGATTCAGGTAAGTGACAAAAATATTTTTAACCCTTTCACCACAGGGGTGGGGGGGGGGGCTGGAGGTGAACAAATTTTGTATTCCTATCACATAGCTTCTCTTTAAAGGGGCATTATAGTGTCAGGAACAAAAATGTGTATTCCTGACAGTATACTTTGAAAACCAGTGTTTAGGTGGCCTTCTTGGCTGACATAATCAAAATTGATGATCCCAATCACAGTGCTTCCTTAATCAGCATCTCCTCATAGATGTGGATTGAATCAATGTATATTTATGAGGAATGTTCATGCAGACCATGCAGAGCGTGGAGAAACTGAATGTAAGTGCAGCACACTGTGCAGTACTGCCCCAGGTAGCACATCTAATAGCCATCTGAGGAGTGGCAACTAGAGGTGTTCCTAGACTCTTTTCTCTGAAAAGGCAGTGTTTACATTAAAATACCAGCAGGGGCTGACTATACTCACCAGAACAATTATAGTAGTTGTTCTGGTGACTATAGTGTCCCTTTAAATAGTAACTCCAAGCACCATGACCAATTGAGTGATTTGAAGTGATGATTGGAGTATGTATGCACAGTGTTTCTTTATGAAATGCTGCACATACAGAGTTTAATGGTGAGATCCAAGAAAAAGATAAACTGTTACAAAAAGGTTTACTCCATTACCTGGGAATTACCAGTAAGCCTCATTACCAGGGTACCACAATACCAGGATACTACTGGCATCATAACCACTACAGCAGGTATAGTGTTCATGGTGATTGGAGTAACCCTTTAACTATTTATCATTTCAAAGCAATACAAAGCAGGTCCTCACATGAAGAATTTAAAATCTTCATGGTGTTATACTTTTTTCACATATCAAAAGGATTTGATTTTCTTTTCTGCAAAATTGCTTTATTGAAGTATCCAGAAATAAATGGCCCAGGACGCCTTATTTGTAAATCCAATATTTTCCTTGTTTGTGCCATCACACCAAGCAACTTATCAACCCTCACATCAAAGTCTTTAGCTAAAAATTATAATGTAGACAAATGGAGGGGCTGCAGGGGAAGAAGTTGGTGAAATGGAGGGGCTGCACAGGAATGGGGGGAGGAGGGGAATGGAGGGCTGCACAGGAAGATAAATGAGGGGCTGCGAGGAAGGGGAGAATGAGGTGTTGCAAGGAAAGAGGGGAGAGAAATGGAGGGGCCAGCAGGGGAAGGGAGGGGAGAGAAATTGAGGGGTTGCAGGGGTTGCAGGGGAATGGGGGAGAGAAATGGAGGGGCTGCAGGGGAAGAGAAATGGAGGGATTGCAGGGGAAGGGAGAGAAATGGAGGGGCTGAAGGGGAAGGGAGGAGAGAAATGAAGGGGCAGGGAGGGAGGGAGGAGAAGTGGAGAGGCTACAGGGATAGGGATGGGGAGAAATGGAGGGCTGCAGGGGAAGGGGGAGAGAAATGGAGGGGCTGCAGGGGAAGGGAGGGGGGAAATGAAGGGGCAGGGAGGGAGGGAGGAGAAGTGGAGAGGCTACAGGGATAGGGATGGGGGAAAAATGGAGGGCTGCAGGGGAAGGGAGGGGAGAAATGGGGTGGTTACAGAGGAAGGGGGGAGAAATTGAGGGCTGCAGGGGAGGAGGGAGAGAAATGGAGGGGCTGCAGGCGAAGTGTCAGGGGTGGTGGTCTTAAGACCGGGACCCCTGTATGCCTGTTGACGATGATGATGGGAGTCTCAACGTGGAAATGGACTATCAGGGCCTGGTGCAGGTAACCACATGCCCCCTGGTGTTGAGCACCAGTGTTTGTGCGGCCACATACCAGGGCCCTGATGCAGCTTCTGCGGATCCCAGATACTAGATCATAATATGCAGACCTCCCAGGATCTGGATAGGGAAGCTCTGCAGAAGAAATGTATCCAGTACTAGAAACAAGGCAAGACTAAAACAGGCACCAAACAAGATAAGACTAGAAGAACCCAGAACCGGAGCAGCATAGAAAGCAGAACCCAGAACATGTACATAGTACATGAGGGAAACATTAACAGGACATGGGCAGGACAGGACAGGACAGTACATGAACTGGGAATACAAGACAAAATAAAACAAGACAAGAGATACAAGCCAAACAAGAGGAGACATAACTAAGTACTATTTATGTAATAAACATTGGAGATTTAGACATACATAAATGGCCAAGATGTATGCAGCCCACCACTGCGCCAAAGTACTCCAAGTATGGTGGGTCCTAACTGCCTATATATGAATGACTAAATAAACAACAATAAAACACACACAGTACTTAACTGCAAAGAAAGGAGCAGAGGAAATGAGACCACTGCTTGCAGGAACAGACTGAAACAAAAAGGATTAATGGCAAAGGAACGGGCGTGGCAACAAAAAACAAACATTTAAAGGAATCCAGGAGACTGGGAATTTCAGGAACAGAATAAAGGAATAAACCCAGAAAACCCAGCATAAAGAAAACTAGACATAGAATAGAAAACCAGAAAAAAGAAGAAAAACTAAACAAGAATTGTAAACAGAGTACTGGATATCGGAAGCCAAGACAGAAATGATCCGCAACAGGAGCAGGATGTGACAGGAAGGAGTTGGAGAAATGGAGGAGCTGCACAGGAAGGGGGAAGAGAAATGGGGGGGCTGCAGGGGAAGGGAGGGAGAAATGGAGGGGCTGCAGGGGAAGGGAGGGGGGAGAGAGAAAAAGAGGGCTGCAGGGGAAGGGAGGGGGAGAAAGAAATGGAAGGGCTGCAGGGGAGGAGGAGAAATGGAGAGGCTGTAGAGAGAGAGGGGAGAGAGAAATGGAGGGGCTTCAGGGCAGTGGCGGATCCAGAGCCTGACCTCGGGAGGGGCACTTGCAGATTATTTAGAGAAATAATCCAGATACAATACCCACTACAGTTCAGTGTAGTGGTTATGGTGCCAGTAGTGCCAGGACCCCCTCCCAGAGTAAGTAGTCAAACCGTTTAAGAACAGTTTGACAACTTACCTGAGGTCTGCTTGGAAATGGGGCTGTAGTAGGGCATAGGAGCAGGGGTGCAGTGTGTGTGTGTTTGTGTAAGAAGGACTGTGTGAGCAGTGTGTGTGTGTGAAAGTTGCAGTGTGTACGTGAGGACGGCAGTGTGTGTTAGGGGGGCAGTGTGTGTGTGTGCGTTGCAGTGTGAGTGGGGGGCAATGTGTGTGTGGGGCCAATGTGTGTGTAGGGTGTGTGTGTGTATTGGGGCAGTGTATGTGTGTGGGAGCAGTAGTGTATGTGTATGGTGGGCAATGTGTGTATGGGGGCAGTGTATGTATGTGGGGCAATGTGTGTGTATCGGGGTGGTGTATGTATGTGGGGGCAATGTATGTGTATGGGGGCAGTGTATGTGTGTGCAGGGAGCAATGTGTGTGTGTATGGGGCAGAGATGGTGTATGGCAATATTGGGGGGAGCAATGTGTAGTAGCCTTGGGGGGCAGTGTATGTGTGGGAGCAGTGTGTGTGTGTGTATGAGGCAGATGTGTATACCATGAGCAGTGTGTGTGTGTGTGTATAGGGGGGTGAGGTAGCAGCCTTAGAGAGGGCAATGTGTGTGTATGAGGCAGTGTATGTGTATAGGGAGCAGTATATATATGTATGTAGGGGAGCAATGTGTGTGTATAGAGGCAATGTGTGTGTATAGGGGCAGTGTATTTTTGTGAGGGAGCAATGTGTGTGTATAGGGGCAATGTGTGTGTATGGGGGCAGTGTATGTATGTAGGGTCAGTGTATGTGTATGGGGCAATGTGTGTGTATTGGGCAGTGTATGTGTATGGGGGCAGTGTATGTATGTGGGGGCAATGTGTGTGTATGGGGGCAGTGTGTGTGTATGGGGGCAGTGTATGTATGTGGGGGGCAATGTGTGTGTGTGGGGCAGTGTATGTGTGTGTGTGTAGGGTATGTGTGTGATAAGGATGGGGGGCTTTTTTAATGTTTTTTTTTTTAAATTTGATAAAATTATTTTTTTTTTAAATTTAAAATATACATTATGTCTCCCCTCCCTTCTTACCTTTGTTTAGGGAGGATGGACATTTCTCGATCCCTGTTGGTCCGGTGGGGAATCCCTGGTGGTCCATGTGGTGAGAGTGAACTCTAGCCCCGGTCTCCAGGGCTAGAGTTCACTCTCGCGAGATCCGGAGCGCTGCCGTGGCAACGCACCGTGCTCGCGAGAGAAGGACCTGGAGGAGCTGCAGACTGAGCTCCCCCGGGTCCTCTCTCTCTCCCTCCTCTGCCGGCGGCCAGCAAACAGTGCCTGCGGACCGGAGTGGGAGATCTCTGATCTCCCCTCCGGTCCATGAAGGCACATTGCAGGGCTGGCGCTTGGAGAGCGCCAGCCCTGCATTAGCCGGCAGGGGAGAGGGAGAACCTCGGATTCTCGGGGGGGGGGGCAATTGCCCCGTTGCCCCCCCGGATCCGCCAGTGCTTCAGGGGAGGGAGGGGGGCAGAAAGACACATGGAGGTGCCTGAGGTGAATGAGACACGTGGAGGGGCTTTAGGGAGGATGAGACACATGGAGTGACTTGTGGGGGAAGTGAGACACATGGAGGGGCTGTGAGGAGCAAATGAGACACTTGAGGGGGAATGAGACACATGGGGGGGGATGAGACACATGGAGGGGCAAGAGTTGAGTGGGGAAAAGACTCATGGAGGTGCCTGGGGGAATGAGACACGTGGAGGGGCTTTAGGGAGGATGAGACACATGGAGTGACTTGTGGGGGAAGTGAGACACATGGAGGGGCTGTGAGGAGCAAATGAGACACTTGAGGGGGAATGAGACACATGGGGGGAGATGAGACACATGGAGGGGCAAGAGTTGAGTGGGGAAAAGACTCATGGAGGTGCCTGGGGGAATGAGACACATGGAGGGGCTTTGGGGGATTAGACAAATGAAGGGGCTCAGAGGGGAATGATACAAGTGGCTAAAATGAGACCTATGGAGGGGCTTGGGAATGAAACACATGGAGGGGCTGGGATGAGACACATTAAGGGACTGGGGAGGGAAAGAATGAGAAACATTGAGGGGCTGGGGGGCCCAGGACAGTTTTTGCACTGGGGACCAGTGGTTTCTAGTAACGCCTCTGTGTACTACTAACACTATAGTGTGCTTAGACCTTTCAACATTCGCCGTAACAGTGTCCATGATCACGCTCCACCTCTTTGATTGAAATCATCAGTGTATTTGTTTTCAGCCAATCCAATGTTTCCCCACAGGGAAACATCCGGAGGCTAGAGCACATAGGCGGCAAAATGCCACACTACGCCAATCAAATGGTCACTATGAGACCTTGGTCCGTATGAGACCTTGATGCAGCCAGGTTTATCTTAGCTTTTAGAGCAAAAAGCCACTAGAGAAGAGGTAGGCAACCTTAGGCACGCCAGATGTTGTGAACTATATCTCATATATTTCTCTTACAGCCATAATGCTGGCAAAGCATCAGGGGAAATGAAGTCAACAACAACTGGAGTGCTGAATGTTTTCCACTCCTGCACTAGAGATATGTTAAAATATAAAAAAATATATGTTCTAACATCAACTTGTCAAAACATGTTAAAATAAAAGCTGCAGATCTCATTCCTGAGGCCTTTGAATGCCCTCCCCTTTTTCCCCAGCGCAGACTTTCTGTGTCTGTCCAATCACAAACTTTCCAATGCAGCTCAATGATAAATCTTTGCAAGACAGGTGCTCCAACCAATTGCTGCCTCTCAAGTTTAGCTTCATTGAGCTAACCAAACAAGGAAGTAACCAAACCAATTACCTGATTGATGGCCAGGGAGGTCAAACAAGGTTAACTTACAAAAGTGCAAATTTCTATTCTAAATCTGAATCTTTGTAAAATGATTAAAATAGGGCACACTTGTTATACATAAAGCACTTCAGCAATTTGAAGTGGTTAAGGGGTCTTGAATGCCCCTTTAAACCTGTAATGAAAACACTGTTGTTCCTGCAAAACAGCAATGTTTTCAGATCCATGGTTAAAACTACAGGTCCATTGAGATGACGTGGTCTGGGTGCCTCTATTGTCCTTTTAAACATTTGATACCAATACCAAAAGAATTATAATTTAATAATAACATAATACAGTTATGTCCCCCTGGCCCACCTTGGTAGCCTTCCCTTGCATTATGTGATGAGTATAGTCTTGAGGTTATTCTATTGCAGCTAATACATTGGAAGAAAACACCTCAAGTAGACTGTGAGCTGTACATTGCTGTTACCACATACATAACTGTTGCACCAGATACCGCAGACAAGAAAAATTAGATTCTCCGTATGAGTTTACGATTCGAGTTGTTTTGTTTAGTTGGAGAGATTCTAAGGATAAAACCACAATTCTGTGGTTTGACATTTATCAATAGTTTGCCAGTTTCAGAAGGGAAAACACAAATAGTATTGCCCAAAAATGTCAGCCCTTACAAACCCAAATTAAAATCAAAGAATAAACGCCCATCTCCTTAAAAGAACAGAGGTGTTTTAGTTAACTATGTCACTGCTGAAGGGAGGCAATATAACAGACATGATAAGGTTTAACTAAATAAATCATGTTAGCAAATTTATAGCTGCAATATATATACTTTTAGTTTGTAATTTGGGTCAAACTGATCTAAAATTAGAATTGCTTTAAAACTGTGTGTGGGTGAAATATACAATTTTCACCTAAAAATTGTGTCAAAATGTGTGTAAGTGGAATAATGTGATAGGTGGGGGGTGATTGCAGTTGGGAGTTGGAACATAGTTGTAGCTATTACTGAAATTATGTGATGGAAAGTATGTGAAATTAAGTAGCGGAATTACATGTGCAAAAGATATATGTTCCAACGTCAACCTGACAAGCTAATATGATAAAAACAAACAAAAACAAAAATATATATTTATGGTGTTTTCTTGATTAGCAAGTTTAACCCTTTCCTGACATTTGGGCGTGTAGTGCTGTCCTACAAAAGGAGGGCTATAAAGCCATTAGGGCGGCATTGCACTTCCTATCGACAGAGCCCTCCCTGCAGCACAAATACTCACCCTCCTTGCCGGATCTGATCTAGGGGACTGCTTGACAACCAAGGCAGTCCCCTTGCAACCACTCCCACCTATTTGAGTCATGTGATCGCAATGACACTGCAATCACATGACTCAGGTCGGCGTGTTTGACAGACTGCCTGGGTTGTCAGGCAGATTCTGTAGTGGGCCTGCCGACAACCTGACCGGTTGTCCTTGCTCAGCCACGTCTTGTCCCTGGAAGGGAATTAGCTATAGCATAGAGATACCCATTTCCCACCCAGTAACCAGATGACTCACAGTCCTGGGGGTACAACAACAACCCTCCCAGGGTCCTCCCTCTCCTAGGAGCCTGTGAGTGTGACAGAAACTCCAGTCCTTTTGTCCCCAGTTCCCACCACCCATCCTCAGGGTTTCCCACCTCCAGGGACCAGGGGCTCTTTATCCCATGAGCCTCTGTACCTGGGAGTCTCAGCGCGGGAAAGTTTCCCCAAGAGAGTGTCCCCACCAATCCCAGAGACCCCCAGAACGGTAACCGCCTCTGCTCGTGGGGTCCCTGGGTGAAACCAGGCAAGGGAAATGTCTCCTTTCGGGGCACGAATGCTCCCCCTGGACGTCGTTCGTTTATACGAACGGCGGCCACCCAGGTAAGCACTCATTAATTACTTCCCTTGCGGTTTCATA